TAGAATAAGGCTGTATATGTTTAATTTTTTTGGTAAATAAATTCCATGAATCCATTCACAATGTCATGCTCTTCCAGAGGTTTTTGTAAGATTATTGGGCAGTTTCTCTGCCTACAAGATATTATCACAGATGCTCGGTTTACTTTTGCAGTTCTCAAAACTGAATTTGACTCAGCGGAGATCACATGCCTCTTCCTCACAGCAAAAATGTTATAACATGAACAGAGTTAAGAAAAAGACCTTCATCCTAACTTCTACAAACCTATGAATACAGAATCAACCCCTTCAGTGCTAAGTTTCAAGAAGTTCAGTGAATAGAATAGAAACAATATTTTTCTGATTGTTTGGAGAGGAATAGATCTGCACAAGAAGAAAGTGAAACTAAGTGTGAGGAGGAAGGGGCTGACAGTCTAAGTTTCTTAATATATATATATTTTGTTTAGCCAAATTAGTTACCAAACATGGATGTTTAAGCAAATCACATATGCTGGAATGTTGTTGTTTCAGTTGAATAAATCTATTTAAATTGTTATTAAGGTAATGATTATTTTTCTCCTTCTTAAGTACAACAGAAAAGTTGTCCAAATATGAATGATTAACCTATTAAACTGGGGATAAAAAAAAACTAATCTGAAAAGTTGTTATTCTAAAAATCTTCATCTACTTGCATATTAAAGTTATACCAGCAAGAATTAGTCTTTATGTAGAAAACTAGGATTTAAATCAAGCCTTACTGACTATTAATTTAAATCGTAATTTAAATCAGTTTGATTTAAATCAAATCCACCCTGGTGAAAACTCAGGTCCTTTTCCATACTGTGCAGGACTGTGCTGTGTGGCAGAGCTGTGTAAATCTCAGGACTGAATAGACAGACAAGTGTTTGAGAAGGTAAAACCGTTTCCATATATGTATTCTCTCTGTGTATTTAGCTGGCTATTTGCCTGGAGTTCAGCATTAATCGAGAGGCTTGCTGAAGATTCTTCATCCTCTGACACCTCAGTAGTGTCCCCTGCTGTGTGCTGTGCTTCCTTCAGCTGCCGCGTGTCACATCTGTGTTCTGCAGTGTCGTAGGGACCAGTGGATGAAACGGCGTGCAGTGGGGACTTGGCATCTAGCATACAAAAGTGTGTCGGATGCTGATGACTGAAGATGCACTAAAAGGAACTGGTTGGAAATTTTAGTTAGCTGCTGAAAACCTTTTAATAAAATGTTCTGTTTTATCTGACAGAGAAAGCGACAAGTGAGCTGAACACGGCTGAAGACTGGGGTCTTATCCTGGACTTGTGTGATAAGGTTGGCCAGTCACGCACGGGGTAAGTTCTTCCCTAATATCCGTCTATGTGGTGTAGAGGGACAGATAATTCGATTATCTTCTGCTGTTGACACATGTTCTGCAGATATCACTAAGTAAGAGAGGATAGAAAACTGCTTCTGCTTTGCAGTAAAAGAAATAGATGCAGACTTCCATTGCTGAGCTCTCCTCCTGACAATGATAGTTGCTTACTTGTCATGCTGATCCAGTGGTTTTAATACTTTCTGAGGCACTGACAGGAACAAGTATTTAGATCAGAAGTTTTGACTTCGCGCTGTCTCATCTGCATGCTTTTTCCAGGTCAGTGATTCAGAACATTTTTGTAGCTGAACTTCAGGAATAATTTTTAGAATTTGCAATTGTAAATGCTTTTTCACTGTCGAAGAGAAATCTTATACTGCTGGAGGAGTTGGTGTAGTGGCAGCGAGTGTGGAAGTGTGCATTAGTGTTGTGATTGTAGGAATGCATGGTGGTGGTGAGTGAGGTATTGCCTGTTGCTCAGTGGAGATGAGTGGGGTATTGCATGTTTCGGTGCCATGGCATTGAGTGGGGTATTGCATGTTTTGCGGTGCCGTGGCTGTGAGTGGGGTATTGCATGTTTCGGTGCCGTGGCTGTGAGTGGGGTATTATTGCATGTTTTGGTGCCGTGGCAGTGAGTGGGGTATTGCATGTCATGCAGTGGTGGTGAATAAGGTATTGTGTATTTTGGTGCAGCTGTGGTGAGTTCGCTATAGCATGTTGGTGCCGTGGCTGTGAGTGGGGTATTGCATGTTTCGGTGCCGTGGCTGTGAGTGGGGTATTGCATGTTTCGGTGCCGTGGCAGTGAGTGGGGTATTGCATGTCATGCAGTGGTGGTGAATAAGGTATTGTGTATTTTGGTGCAGCTGTGGTGAGTTCGCAATAGCATGTTAGTGCCGTGGCTGTTAGTGGGGTATTGCATGTCTCGGTGCCGTGGCAGTGAATGGGATATTGCGTGTTTCGGTGCTGTGGCAGTGAGTGGGGTATTGCATGTTTCGGTGCCGTGGCAGTGAATGGGGTATTGCGTGTTTCGGTGGTGCCGTCAGTGGCAGTGAGTGAGGTATTGCATGTTTCGGTGCCGTGGCTGTGAATGGGGTATTGCATGTTTTGGTGCCGTGGCAGTGAGTGAGGTATTGCATGTTTCGGTGCCGTGGGCTGTGAGTGCGGTATATTGCATGTTTGCATGGGTGCCGTGGCAGTGAATGGGGTATTGCATGTTTCGGTGCCGTGGCAGTGAGTGAGGTATTGCATGTTTCGGTGCAGTTGCTGTGAGTGGTGTATTGCATATTTCGGTGCTGTGAGTGAGGTATTGCATGTTTCGGTGCTGTGGCTGTGAGTGAGGTATTGCATATTTCGGTGCTGCTGTGAGTGAGGTATTGCATGTTTCGGTGCAGTGGCAGTGAGTGGGGTATTGCATGTTTCGGTGCTGTGGCTGTGAGTGAGGTATTGCATGTTTCGGTGCCGTGGCTGTGAGTGGGGTATTGCATGTTTCGGTGCTGTGGCTGTGAGTGGGGGATTGCATGTTTCGGTGCCGTGGCTGTGAGTGGGGGATTGCATGTTTCGGTGCCGTGGCAGTGAGTGGGGGATTGCATGTTTCGGTGCCGTGGCAGTGAGTGGGGTATTGCACATCATGCAGTGGTGGTGAATAAGGTATTGTGTATTTCGGTGCATTGGCAGTGAGTGGGATATTGCATGTTGGTGCAGTGACAGCAAATGGGATAATGCACGTCAGTAAGTGGCGTTTTTGTATGCCTGTTCAGTGGTGGTGAGTGGGGTATTGCATGTTGTTTGAAGTGGCAGTAAGTGAGGTATTGCACATCAGTGCAGTTGCAGTGAGTGAGGTATTGCACATTGGTGCTGCAGCAGTGAGTAGGGCATTGCCTGTTGTGCGGTAGCAATGACTGGGTTATTGCCTGTTTATTCAGTGGCGTGAGTAGGGTATTGAATGTTTTGGTGCAGTGGTAGTATGTGTAGTATTGTGTGTCAGTGTAGTGGCAGTAAGTAGGACGCTCACAGGTCGGGGATGAGGTAGATAAAATGAGTTTCCAGCGAAGTACAAATCACTTGACGTGGCTACAGAGACATACCACAACAACCAGTCACCCACAGAGCCGTCCACAGAGGGCCAAAGCATACTGGGGCTTTCCAGCTGCAGCCTGTACTACAGTCACATGCCCCTTTCTCACTCTGATCCCCATGAATTTTCATTCATTCATTCATTCATTCATTCATTTTTTCTCTTACTGGTAAGAGTTAAACAGAACATAAATGTCAGTTAAGCACTTAAGTGTTTTGTTTTTTTCCTTTTTAAGGCCTAAAGATTGTCTGCGCTCCATTATGAAAAGAGTGAACCATAAAGACCCACATGTAGCAATGCAAGCACTAACGGTGAGTGATTTTTTTTTTTTTTTTTTTTTTTTTATCTTAACTGACCACTACAAGTTGTAAACCACCTTTTTCTAGAATGTTTAACAGAAACCTGAATAAATCACCACTTATTCTTATATAGTGTCTGTTATTCTAAATGAATATTTCTGTCAATGGAAAAACTTTACTTTGTATAGCATATGGAAGGATCCGAACCCCTGTCAGGCTTTTGTTTTTCTGTGTGTCTCCATTGAGGTGATACTAGTTATCAGGACAGGAAGTCAGAGGAAATCTCCCTAAAACAGATACGGACCGCAGTAAAAATTGCTAGGGGTTCTGAGCCTCCTCACTGATATCCTCCTTGTGGGGCCAGTGTGAAGTACAGACTTCCTATTGGAATACATTGGGATTGCAGTAAATACTACCCAGCAGTGAAGGTTTTTGAGAAGGGGCAGTGCAGCAATGTGCAGGCCACACAGCACAAATCTCAGCGGAGTGAGGATAGGCAAGTGTGTTTGTGGAACTGATGAGGGAGGTATGTGGAGCCAACTAATCATATATCCACTAAAAGTGAACTTGCACTTTAAAGCGGAGCTTTTATAGACTGTAAGTAGACAGGCTTTTTATTGCAGAGGAGACATGCTATAAACATGTATGCACAGGACACAGGAGTGATGTCATCCCATGCTCACCAATGAGAACGGTTGCAGCTGTTTAGCTCTGCTTTGACCACTTGATGCCACAAGACTGCTGGCTTTCGGCTATCCAATAAAAGTGTTCTACCACTTATATGGGACTTACTAAACCCTTGGCATAGCAATAAATATTTAAAGAAGTACAACCAAAGCTCTTTTGGCTGTACTTCTTCAATGGATCATGGGAGTGCAGTTTGTGCTACACTTCTGTGACCTGTTTTCAGCTGAATTTACAGAGCTGTTCCAGGCTGGGGAAGGACCTCGACCATATGGTTGGGATCCACCCCAGAGTATAGAGCGGGACTTGGCTCAGCCTCTCAGCGAGCCGCTGAGAACCTGAGGTAGCCGCCATCTCCCCTCCACAGCCCCGTGCTCCAGTGAGCGTGGAAGGGTGGTGCAGAGCAGACAGCAGTGACTGACAGTCACTGGTCTCTGCTCACAGCGGCGGTGAGAAGTCAACGATCAGTGGTATGTGATTGCTGAGTTATCACCAGAGCCAGCAGGGGACGGATGCAGCATCCTCCTAGGTAAGTATGATTTAAAAAACAAAAAACAAATTCCCATACTTCTCTTTTAACCACTTGCCAGCCGCACTAAAGCCGAATGACGGCTACATCACGGTTGTCCAGTTCTGGGAGGGCGTCATATGACGTCTTCCCAGAACGCCCCCGGGGGCACGCACCCGGCAATCTCCATGATCGCTGTGTCCTATGACACAGCCGATCACTGGTAAATGCAGTTGCCGGTTACAGGCAATTGTCAGAGGACAGATCGCCACCGATTATCAGGGCACTGATGATCAGTGCCCAGCAGTGCCACATACCAGTGCTGCCTGTCAGTACCCAGCAGTGTCATCTGTCAGTGCCGCCTATTAGTGCCCATCATATTGGTACATCAGTGCCGCCTATCCATGCCACCTCATCAGTGCCCAACAGTGCTGCGTATCAGTGCCCCCTATCAGTGCAGCCTCATCAACGCACATCAATGAAGGAGAAAAATTACCTGTTTTTTGCAAAATTTTATAATCGAAACAAAGGAAACTTTTTTTTTTATTTTGTATTTTTTGCTCTTTCTTTTGTTTATAGCGCAAAAAATAAAACACCCAGCAGTGATTAAATACCACCACCAAAATTATAAAAATGTCATATAGGTACAGTGTTGCATGACCACGCAATTGTCATTCAAAGTGCGACAGTGCTGAAAGTTAACCTGGGCAGGAAGGTAGTATAATTCCCTGGTAGGCAAGGGGTTAATGGAGAAAATGGTTAAAATTGTAAATTATAATAAATGGTTAAAGCAACTGTGTCAACCCATGTACACACCACAAATGCAAACACATGTATGTAAAGAGCGATTGTGCGACACATTTGGTATCGCTGTGAATGTCAGCATACAAGTATCGTACAACATAAAAAAATTGCAGCTGCCAGAAAATATATAATTGTTTGGGGGGTTTTAAGTAATTTTCTAGTTTAAAAAAAAAAAAAAAAAAAAAAATCACGTGTGTGAAAAATAAAACCGAAACGAAGTGGTTAAAAGCAGGAGATATTCTTCTCCAACCCTGTTAGATGAGTCATAATTGAAGGAGACAGACATGTTGGTGGTCTACTCTAAATAAATAAAAGCTGTGTGAATTCCTTCTTGTTATACTAATAGAACATGGATTAGACACCCAGCAACCTAATTGAGATTAGCTTCATCTGTCTATATCGGACACAGCCGGCAGCCTGAGAGCTCTGAAGCATTTGAAAATACGGAACTATTGTATTGATTACGTCAGTAGCAGGCCTTCCTTCATTTGCTTGTTTTATCTCCAAAACAGAGAAAAAGGAAATTGGCTTTTTTTTTATAAAGCATAGCTATAGTCAACAATTTTTTAAGCTTGGGATAAAATGTGGAAGGTTAGAACAACTGTTGTGTTTTTTGTTACTGACTGCATCCCTGCTGGGGAGATGAACCCTCTCTACTCCAACGCTTTTGTCCCTACACTTGCTGCCTCTTACACATAGAAAGCATTATGTAGAAAAAAGAAAAGGTCATTCTAAGACATTTTACCCAGCCACCTTTTAAAGGACAACTCCGGGTAGAAAAAAAAAAAGTTGACCCTTACAGTAGGGTTGTGTCCAGGGGCGGACTGACTATTTTTTGAAATGCCCGGGGTCATTAGGGGGCCCCATGAATGCCCCTGGTACCTTTTTCATAGGCTTTGTTTGAGTTTGGGCAAGGACACGGGGGCCCCATGAGTTGTCAGTCCGCCCCTGGCTGTCTACTACAAGGATTAACAGCTAATTTTCTCTAGAGAGGCTGTTTTACTTACCTGATTTTCTGTATCCCCCGGATGATGAGCTGTCCTCTGGTGTCTTCACATCAAAAACAGGGCTATGCACCCTGCTGTGGTCTTGATGACATCAGGACCCTAGAGTGTAGGGAGTGCAGAAGCTGCGGGGACCGGTCCAGCTGTGGGGTGGAGCAGAAGGTCGGTAAGTATATTTCCTTTTATTGTTCCCCTAGACATAAACAAGTAATTGGCCTTTGTAGTGCAGGCACAGGCCCAGTGTAAGGGACAATTTTTGTTGCCTGGAGCTAGGCTAGGCTTTAAAGGGTTAGCTTACCTTTACCAAAAAAACGTTTAGCCTGGCCATACATTTATACAATGGTTTTTGAGATTTTTGCTTTAGATTTACCAAAAACCATATAATAAAGAGGTCAAACCTAAGCGACACTTTCAATTGTATCCACTTAGGCAGGCCCTTGAACTATGTAGTTGAAGGTAAATCTAAATTGGACAGAAAATTGTATAGTGTATGGCTATCCTTATGCAGGTAAGGGTGTCAGTCAAAGTTGTACAGTTTCTTTATATCTACAGAGATTAAATAGAACATTTGAATGTGTACGTACCTTCTGAAACCTGGCTGAAAATCTCCCAGAGATGGCATAATTTACTGCCATGCAACCTCTTCTCTCTCTCCCCCCCTTTGTCACAGTAGCCCTGAGCTCAGCGATGCTTTAACAGGTGCTAGTGGACCTAGGGTTGCCACCTCATCCCTTTAAAACCAAACACATATTAATTACACAGGTTCTGGGGCTGATTAAGGTGGTAAACAAAGTCACTTAATGCCTTATCTGCATTCTATTAGGCTCAGAACCTGTGTAATTATTATGTATTCGATTTTAAAGGGATGAGGTGGCAGCCCTAAGTGGACCTCACATGTGGCGGAGTTTTGAGAGCTCGCTTCTGTGATGGTGGGGGTGAGCAGTAACAGCTGAGAGTGTCTTAGCACAGTCCTAGAAACAAGGCAGGATGGGATGATGCCATCTCTGGGATCTTTTTGTCCAGGTTTCAGGAGGTACATAAATGGCCTACACTTATAGCAAGAGCATTATCTAACTTTGCTTAAAGCTGTGATGTTTGTTTTTCGTTACAGGCTCCCCTTATAGCATAGGTAGTTTTATGGTAAAGGTGAAGTAACCCCGAGTCAGAGGTCTGAGTGTGCTTTATGTGCATTCAATAACGAGGGTCTGGCTTGAAAGAATTGTGCATATATGGTGTATTTAGCTGACTTGAGGCAATCCTTCTATCATCATTTGGAAATAGTGGGTGGATTTGGTATGAATTCAGGCTTTCACATAAATTGGGAGAAATCCAGCCTTTTTCCCATTGGATAGAAATGCTGTTCACTCAAAATACCCAACTTCACAACTCTAAATTGTTGAAACCTTTAGATACTTGGGAGTGCTGGTACAATTTCCCCTACAAATGTATATTACCAATAACATCCATCCTATTGTCTCAGCAGAAGACCAGGCAGTGAATTGATCTGCCCCTAAACTTGATGGGCACAATCAATCTACTGAAAGATATTTCAAATTATTGTATATCCTGGTTAATGGTCCCTGCAAAATCCCAGCACACAGGTGTAGGGAAATTACCACGATCAACATCACTGTCTTCTTGTCTCTGGCAGGGAAAGTGTACTGGGATTGCATTGGAAACCTTGAGACTCCCTACAAAGTTGGGAACAACGGCATATTTACCACAAGGAAGACAAGCTGTTTGCCTTGGGATGTAATTTTAAGGGGGGGGGGGGGGGCAATTTTAGTGTTGCTAAGGGCAGCACAAGGACTAAATACACCACTGGTTGGGAGGTTTGTCTTTCTCCAATTTACACAAATACTATATAGCAGCTCAACTTGTGATTACCCATTTCAACCTCTGATCTGCACCATAACCTAAGCAGATATTATCACCTCCTAGGAATCCCTACATAATATAGTGTACAGGCGATCAGTGCCTCTATCCAAGAATCAACATTGTTCCATGCTTCTCTTTTTATGTTCCTCTATAGCACAGGTGTCAAACTGGTGGCCCTCCAGCTGTTGCCAAACTACAAGTCCCATGAGGCATTGCAAGATTGACAGTTACAAGCATGACTTCCAAAGGTAGACACATGATGGGACTTGTAGTTTGGCAACAGCTGGAGGACCGCCAGTTTGACACCCCTTCTCTATAGCATAAAAGTATTTTAAGGAGCACTGGGAAAATTCCCCATAAAACCTTCTATGGTCAACCCTTCCCCATCTGAATTCCTATCCATCCCAGATGCAAAACACTTGTCCCCCTCTGGTATAAAATGTGGTCATCCAGTAATCATTATTGGTGATCCAGAAAGCAGACAGAGGGACATCTGATATTGTTAGGGTATTACTATTGTGGGGCAGGAGTGTGGAAGCATTAGACAGTTGGCATAGGAACAAGAACTATAAATTCTACCCTGCTCTTAATTCTGAACTCCAGACATAAAACACACAATCTAATGCAGCTCTGTATTCATCAGTACATCAAATAAATTATTTGTAGTGTAATGCAAGCAGCATAATTACCTTTACCCCTTGCTGACAGCCGTACGTATGGTTACATTCTGTCAGCAAGTGGATAACAAGCCACTGTAACCATGAGCTTGGTGTCCTTTTTTACAGCTGACAATCGACTGTTGAACCACCAGCTGACCTTTACCTAAAGTGAGAAAGCATGCTTCCACTCCCCCCACCCCCACCAAGTGAAAAGGGTTGCCTCCAACCAACCCCCTCCCAGAATGCACATACAGTATTTACTAGGGATGCACCGAAATTTCGGCCATCGAAACATATCTGCCGAAAATGGCTCTACTGGCATTGTGCCGATAGGAAAAATTTAGCCAATACAGGGGACTGTGTGTACTGCAGATGTGTATATGATGACTGGCTGTCACTGTGGGCTTTATTTACTAAAGCTGGAGAGTGCAAAATCAGACTCACTTCTGCATAGAAACCAATCAGCTTCCAGGTTTCATTGCCAAAGCTTCATTGAACAAGCTGAGGTTAGAAGCTGATTGGTTTCTATGCAGAAGGGAGTCTGATTTTGGACTCTCCAGCTTTAGTAAATAAACCCCTGTATGTCAGTGCCGATTCTTAAATGCAATTGCCGGGTTTTTTTTTTTTTTTTTTTTTGTCTTCACTATAGCTCAGAGAATCAGTTGTCACTTTCCCCGAGCTTAAAGAAACAAAGTTTCTTTATAGTTTCTCTCCCGAGCTAAAAGAAACAAAGTTTCATTCCTTCTCAAAGCTACGGTGAAGAGAAAAAAAAAAAGCCACAATTGCATTTAAAAACCAGCACTGACAGTGACAGCCAGTGAGGGAACCTCACTGTATACACTGCCCCCCCTCCCCTCTACAAAGATGGCCTGTCACACATATGCTATCACATAGGGGACTGTTGGTCCCCTATGTGATAGCAATAACATCATAAGTTAAAAAAAAAAAAATAGAAATATACATGAAAGTAGAAAAAAATTGGAGCCTCCCCACCCCCACATACATAGATGGTTTCGTTTTGGTTTTCGGCCACATGCATTCTGAATTTTCGGTATCCTTTTCGGCACCAGAATTTTTCATTTCGGTGCACCGCTAGTATATACTGTAGTGGGAAGGGATGCTACACCCCCATCTCATGCCTTTTAAATGTCTGTGCAAATATTGTGCAAGTTAAATAACTGCTGCATCCACCAATTAATCCTCCAGGGCCTCTGCTTTCGAAACTATATAATGTTTGGGATTCCAAAGTAATTTTTCTAGCAAAAAAGCAGATTCTAACGCGTGGGGGAAAAATGCCAGAAAGTTTGTTTTTTCTGTTATTTGTTTCTTCAATTCACTGTACAGAAGAACTCGACTTGGAGAGGGGGCAGCAACACAAGGAGCCAGTCCGTTGTGCCTCAGTGCTCTTATCAGCATGTCCCTTTTTATTAGTACATTAGCAAAGCGCAGAGTAATTGAGAGAGGGGAGTTCATTAGTGTGGTTCTTCTCCTTCACTGTTCAGTCACCAGCTGAGGGAGGGGAAGATCTAGTAGTAGGGATGAATCTGGGTATCCTCATCTATCAGACAGGGCTGTGCTGTCCTGTAGAGCAGTGTACATTTCGGAACTGGATGGACAGAATTACTAATCCTCTGGCAGGTAGAACAGCTTCACATGTGTCTTTGGCTGGAGTCAAGCTTTATTATGGATGTGAGTCATTAAGCCTGAAAACATATTTTATGTATTTAACGTATGCTTTGTGTTCAGATTGATGAAAATAGCGTGTGTCTTTACAGCTATTTAATGTGTTTATGTACCATATCCGTTTTGTGTTCCAGCTACTAGGAGCCTGTGTGTCCAACTGTGGGAAGATCTTTCACTTAGAAGTGTGCTCAAGAGACTTTGCAAGTGAAGTTAGCAGTGTGTTAAATAAGGTAAGCATGTCCCTATCACATGCTTTGTGAGTTCCAGTCATGTTTTATTACGCTTCATGGAATGGTTTTCTTGTATATAAACCTTTTTATGGGTTGCTTTCACCATTAAGTCTGTTCTGATGCATGCATTACTAACGTATGTTATTTGTACATTGCAATTCTGTTGTTTCCTTCCAGACGAACCTGTGTTAAGCGCACTGATGCACATCTGCTCTGTGTGTTTTGTTGCCCTGCACTGAAAAAAATCATCCTGGATCTATCTTTGTATGTTTCGTAGCTTTGACATCCAGTTTGTTTTGAAAGGGCTATCCTAATGCAGTGCTGCTCAACACACAAAAATACATCTCCCCCTTTCCTCCCCACCCCCTTAGAGCAACCCCAACATCTTAAAAAAAAAATTGACTGTGGAGAGTGGCACCCCATAATAACATGTTGGGGCTCACAGGAAGTGGGTTGAATAGTGCTGGGCATCGGTCAACCTGTTGAAGTAGTGGAGCTGCATCACTGGAACGGTGAATCATTGTGGGACAGTGCTAGAGATGAGGTAAGTGTAGTGGTGGTGCCACTTTTCACCCAGCATAGAGATGGTGAAGCAGTAATCATGGCCAGTGGATTTGGATGGAGTGGATGAGTTTAGCCAAAAAAAAAAAAAGTGTATCCATAACAGTGCTGTTTACCTCTGAGGGACAGCTAGTGGAGGAGAGAACCACTTACAGAGAAAAGTACTGTATTAAAGTTTGGTATTTCAGTATAGACTGCTTGTGTGTGTGTGTGTGTGTGTGTGTGTGTGTGTGTGTGTGTGTGTGTGTGTGTCTTTTGGGGGAGGTAGCAGAATCACAGGAGGGTGGGCAGCGGGACAGGAGGCGGAATTGTCATGAAATGGGATAGGTGAGGGGCAGTGTCACAGGTTGGGTTGTAGCGTTGCTGGAGGGGACAGCTCTCGCCTATCCAGCAGTGGCTTCTCCAGGTGTCCTGGTTGTTGAGGTTAGGACTATTTAGTAGCAAGGAAATCTCATGGATGGACTTGCTGCACAGGTGGCAACCTATCACGGTACCACGCTTGAATTCACTGAGTTCCTGAGAGCGACCCATTCTTTCACAAATGTTTGTAGAAGCAGTCGGCATGCCTGATTGCTTGATTTTTATATACCTGTGGCCATAGATGTGATTGGAACACCTGAATCCAATGATTTGGAGGGCTGGCCCAATACGTTTGGCAATATAGAGTGTGTGTGCGCACTCCAGTTGTTTAGTTTAATTTTTTTTTTAATCATTAATTTACACTTGGTACCCCATAATGACAAAGTGAAAACAGAATTTTAGAAATGTTCGCAAATGTATGAAAAAGGAAAAATTTGAAATATGACATTGGCATAAATATTCAGACCTTTTGCAACAACACTTGAAATTTAGCTCAAGTGCCTTCCATTTCTCTTGATCTTTGCTGAGCTGTTTCTACATCTTGATTTGGAGCCCACCTGTGGAAATTAAATTGATTGGACATGGATTTGGAAAGGCAAACACATCTCTATGAAAGTCCACACAGCTGACCATGCATACTGTATGTGCCCGTTCACACCGGTGCGATTTACAAATTGAAATTGCTTCTAGTGAATGTCTTAATATGTGCGATTTGCTGCAGCAGGATTTCTAAAGTAGTTCTTGCATGACTTTTTCTGCAGTTTTGTTGCGATTTCAAATGCATAGAATAAAATGGAAATCGCACTGCAAATTGCAAGAAATCATTGAAAATCTTCTCAAGTAGCAATGAAGTCTTCAGAAATCGCACCTGAAATTGCTTACAAATCGTGTAAATTGCAGCGGTGTGACCTGTGGGACTGTCAGAGCCAAAGCTATGAGGTCAAAGGAACTGCCTGCCGAGCTCAGAGACTGGATTGTTGCAAGGCACGGATCTGGGGAAGGCTACAGAAATTTTCTGCTGCATTTCCTCAAATGGACAAAGTTTGGCACAACCAGGACTCTTCCAAGAGCTGGTCGCCCAGCCAAACTGAGCAATCTGGGGAGAAGGACCTTAGTAGGTGACCAAGAACCCAATGGTCACTGACTGAGCTCCAGGGATCCTGTGTGGAGATCAGACAAAGTTTCAGAAGAACAACCATCACTGCAGCTTCCACCGATCTGGACTTCATGGCTGAGTGGCTAAATGGAAGCCTCTCCTCAGTGCAAAACATCTAATAAATTCACAGACCTTTCTAAAACTCTGTTTTCACTTTGTCATTATTGAGTGTAGATTAATGAGGGAAAAAAAATGTAAACAACTGTAGTAGCAGGCTGCAACTGCAACATTTAAAAAGGGAAGGAGGTCTGAATACTTTATGAATGCAGCTATAGCTATATACACGCAATGTATAAGTAAAATATTTTTTTTTTCTTAAATTACGTAGAGTCTGCTTTAATTCCTACAACCCTTTACTGTTTATAAATAGAGAACATTTGCCAGGACGCTCAAAGAACTGAATATTTTGGATTCATTGTACATTTTGCACTGCTTTTAGGCTGTTTTTTTTAGCCCTTCATATTCTCTGCAGGTTTTTACAATATTGCTGAGGTGATTGCAGTATTTCATCGCCTATAGCACTTGGAAGAAAGCCTGCAGTGGTTTTAATGGGCTGAGAGAACCTTACAGTCCAAACATGTTGTGTGCTCTCTGTGGAAGATAAATGGCTTTCCTCATTCATTTCTGACATTCATTGTTCACACTCAGCTCCTTCAACTCCCTAGTGAGGAAAAGGCAACTCCTACTTTCCAATGGCTGCAGCTAACAAAATGTCTGAAGAAAATGTCTTGTTTAGTCCCATAGCCACTAACATGGTTTCTAGCTTTCCCACATGACCAGAGATAGTCAGGCCTTGTCTGGACAAAGTTGTTTTTTTTATTTATTTTTAATTTTTTTTATTTTGTGAATCCTTTCGAAAAAAAGTCTTGTTTTCTGTGTGTTCATTGAAATCAGATTTACGTTTTATGCAGCCCTCTCACCCCCATTGCAGGGGTATTATTATAGTTCTATAGTGCCATCGATTTACACAGCACTTTTAATATTTATATTGTACATTCACATCAGTCTTTGCCCTCAAGGAACTTACAATTTAAGTTTTCTAACTCGTATTTATACATACACATACTAGGGAATTTAGACAGGAGCCAATTAACCTACCAGCATATCTTTAGAGTGTGGGAGGACCAAGAATACCTGAAGGAAAACCATGAAGGTACAGGGAAAACATGCAAACTCCATGCAGGTAGTGCTGCGGTTGGGTTTCGAACTGACGACCCCAGTGCTGCTAGGTGGAAGCGCAAACCACTGTGATGCCCATGATTTATGATAGACTGTCAAGGGGTTTTCAAGTGAAAAAAAGGTCGGAGACCATTGCTAAATAAATAATAAATAATAAAAAAAAAATTAAAGTGCCCCCGTCCACTTGCTTGCACGCAAAGGCTAATGCATGCAAACAGCGATCGTCCAATACATGTCAGGTATCTCCACGAATGTGAAATCATTGGCAGTAATTCTACCACCAGACCACCTCTATAAATCACAGTGGTAACCTGTAAAGGCTTTTAAATTCTTACTTATGGATAGTACAATTTACGTTTTCTGTCACCAGTGCAGGGGCGTGCACAAGTGTAACCTGTTTGGTATCTATGCATGCGGCGTAACAACATCTTTTATATTTTACCAAAAGTTGGTTTATGTATTGTGTTTTTTGCATTAAAATTCAAAAAAAGTGTATTTTTCTCAAAAAATTGCATGTGACGTTATGGGTGAGACATACAAAATGCAGATACCACCAATTTATTCACTAGGGCCTCCGCTTTAAAAAAAATAAATATAAAGTTTGAGTTTTATAAGAAATTTTCTAGCAAAAAATACTGATTGTTACATGTAAACAAAGTGCCAGAAAAGGTGTAGTCTTCAAGTGGCTAATGTATTCTCAGAATGCACAGGAAGAGTAGTGAGCCCTTACTTGTGTGTGAAATTTGAAGATGAATTGCTCCACCCTGGCTTCAGCTACAGAGGTCATTGAGGGCCTGTTTTAAAACCTTTACTAGTTTTAAGTAAGCATGAAGCTCAGGGCTACTTTAAAGAGCATAAATGATCCAAAGCTTTATTCACCAACGTTTTGGTGAGTCACATTCCACCTTTTATCAAGTCTACTTGTTAAGAATATTGTAAATATATGACGTTACATAGCCTGACCTCTCCTCCTCTGCTTTTGTTTTTTGGTGGTGTGCTTTAAAGTTCCTTTTTTCAGATGAGGCCAGTTCTTCTAAATAACAAACTGCAGCAGCTCCCTTCTTTTGAATATAGTTGGCAATTTCTGCTGTTTGCTTTCTTCTACAGGGGCACCCTAAAGTCTGTGAAAAGTTAAAAGCACTAATGGTAGAATGGGCTGACGAATTCAAGAATGATCCACAGCTTAGTCTAATTTCCGCTATGATCAAAAACCTCAAAGAACAAGGGGTCACTTTTCCAGCTATTGGATCCCAGGTATGGAATTGGAGTCGAGGTGCACACTTTGTCATCTGCAGTGAAAGGAGAATTTGACTTAAAATAGCCATCATGTTTTGGCTGTTCATCACTCACCAATAAATAAGTCTGATGGTTTATGCACTTGATCCCTAGTGAATTAAACACTGTAGATGCCTTCTGGCCTCCTGAGCCAATTATAAAAGTACCCTGGTATTCCCAAAACCATGGTTCTGTATTATGCAAATATTTAAGCTAAGTATACACACAGTTTTTTTTTTTTTTTTTTTTGTTCAAATAGCAGGTTGAATGAAAAAAAAAAAAAAACTGATGGATCCCTGCATCAATACAAACTATGTTGATGCAGGGATTTCTCCTGCTGTTCTGTTGCAATCCGACAGGGAATACACTGATCAGCGCTAGCAACCATTGGCTGCAAGTGCTGCTCAAATGTTGGTTCTCCAGCATGCCCTTTGTTGACAGAAGCCAGTTGTTAGACTGTTGAACAGACAGCTGTACACACAGACTGAAAGTCTACCAGTTCCTGCTGAACCATCCAATTTTTGGCCCTTGTGTACTGGGCTTTAGGTTAGAGTCACTTTGACCAATCATGTTCTTAGCAACCTGAAAGTATAAAGCGAACTAAGGCTGGTCTAACTTAATTAGCTTCTCCGCCTGGAAGATGACTATATGCTTGCAAACTTTAGAGTGGTTTGTATCATGCTGCTATTGGTCTAGTGCAGCTGATGGAATGATGCTAAATGCACTGAGCTTGCCTGCTCCATTTACATATATTTTGGTTGGAACTCTACAGCTTCACTTCTAGACAGTGGGTATGAACACAGGTTGGGTTTCTTCTTTTTTTCTGTTTGTGAAAAAAAATGGGCTTCTTTTTTATTTTTAAGGCAGCAGAACAGGCCAAAGCCAGCCCTGCTCTAGTGACGAAGGACCCAGGAACAGTGGCTACAAAGAAAGAGGAAGAGGACCTCGCCAAAGGTATATATTACTAGTGGTCAACTTGAAAACTTGGGGCCTCAAGTGCGGCATTTGACTCTTCCAGAGGGCCACACTGTAGTGAGGCTTTGTGAGTATTCAGGTGCGTTATGTCAAAATGAATGGGTTATAATGCACCTCAACACCCAAAATTTCAATCCTGCTGCAATTTTTTAAGTTTATTGAGTTTTCTATGGAAGGACGTTACAGTTATAATCACAATAACATTCAAAGAAAAAGCAGAACACAACATGCTGGCAGAAGATGGGAAAGACACATCATAAGGAATATCTCCAGGATACATACAAAACTTATCACCTACAAGGTCGGTGCCCATATAATTAAGGGTAAAGGTGGCATCCTGGGTACACAGTGTAGCTAGAAACCTAGTGTTGTACATACACCCCCCCCCCATCCCCCCAATTAACTGACTAGTTGCCGTATGGGCAACAGGTTTAGTAGCTGGAGGTGTGCAGCATTAAGGTAGACAGTAAAAGGAGGGGGAGGGAAAGGTGAATGTGAAGACGTAGTTCAAATTGTCAGATCCCGAGCCCTTAACCATGCCGATCAGATCTTATGGGATTTTTTAGGGCAGTTACGAACTGTGTATGTAAGTTTGTATAATGGAAGCACATTATTAATCAGGGTGCGTCATTGGGCTATCGTAGAAGTGTAGTGGATTGTGATAGACCACGTTTTATTAGATGATCAGTAAAATGACAATTTTATAGTCTTGCTATTTTCTGCTTCTTGCTCTTTAAATTCCTTACTCTCTTAAGTAAACAATCAGATATAAGTTGACAGAACAATGATGATAATTAAGATGGCGCCTTCATCCGGAGTCTCACTTAGTAAATAAACAACCCCATAAAAGAGTGAGTCTTTTTGGGGACAATGATTGGAAGATATCAACACAGATGGAAGAACACGCAAAAACCCAGTGGACTTTTCACCCAATCAATGTATATGCTTTGCCTGCATCATAAGCCCTATAAATGATACTGTTAGTTCCTGAATAAAACAGAATTTTAGGAAGTTGGCAAACTGCAACAGTGTCAGTGTCTTGCTTCCACGTGCACGTAATTCTATATTAATTTGGCTCACTGGTAGATCACGGTAAATGGTCTGTAGGTGACCTAGTCCAAAACATTTTGGCGCCCAACGTGGGGCCCGGGTTCTGAACACCGGACCAGCCGACCAAGAGTGGTCGAGGGGGACCGTGGAGCATTCTTGACTCTTTCCACATAAGCAGAATACGTTTTCTTGCATAATAGACGGAATAAAACAGAAATGGTTTAGTGTGGTGGAGAGTGCGTCATCCCTAATAATAGCATCAGTTGATCTATAGATATCGTTAAGCCACTTATTGCACCTACTTCGGATGCTGCTGCCCCAAGAAAAGCTGCAGTTTAGGGCAGGACCACACCTTATGTATAAATGTACCCACCGAGGCCCTACACTTGGGGCAGGTAGGATCTGCTGTAGCGTAAATAGAAGTTAGTCCCTGGGGGGTGTAATACACTCGGTGCTGGAATTTTAGTTCGATCCATCTCTCCCTTGCTGATACCACAAGAGGGATATATTGTTGAATGCTCTTCCCAGTCCCCGTTTGTGAGAGTAGGTAAATCCCCATACTAGATATGGTATATCCGGGAAACACTAGAAGTATCAATTTGGGAGATATAGCAGTTTGTCTAGGTGTTCGTTGGACAACCGTGATTCCACCTGATGTGATATCAATTGTACAGGAAAGGTAAATTGGACTTGGGCAGTATGTCTGAGCTGTAAGTAGAGAAAAAACCTTTTATTGGGAAACTGGTAAGTGGCTTTAGGATCATTAGTATTTCACTCCATTATGTGCCCAGATAATTGGATCCGGGATAGAGTGGAAATGTGGCAGTCTGGGATTACCCCATAGTGAAGTGTATGGAGTCCATGTCCCGGAAACCCTCATATAAGCCTCCAATTGCACCTGCTGCAATGTTCACAGCATATTGTAATGCTTACTGAAAAAGTTGGGTGTCAATGGCAATAACCCCCAGCATTGTTGTTAGCGGCAGTAATAATAACCCCCAGCACTGATGCCAATAACTGCAATAATAACATTCAGCATTGGTGTAAGTGGCAGTAGTAAGCCCCAGCGTTGGTTTCTGTGGACGCAGTAATAACCCTTAGCCTTGGTGTCAGTGAGTACATTAATAACACTAAACATTTTTGTCAGTGGCAGTAATAACCCACGCACAATTTTAACCCCAAACATTGGTGTCAGTGGCAGTAGCCACTCCCCCTTTTCTTTTCCTGGTGTACAGCTTTAGTAATTAAAGGAAGATTTTCCCAAAGCTTTGCCCACCCAGCTGCAAAACTCATTGGTTGCTGCGTTGTCAGTGTGTCAGCTACAATGGTGGGAAGGGAGCTCAGATACACTGTGGACAAAGCATCTATATGAACACTCCAGTCTCGGTGCACTTCCTCGTGCGGTGCTTGCCACAAATTCATGTACCTTTTTCCAACAGGCACATGAATCTTTCGCCTGCTCCGACATTTGTTGTGCTAAGACATGTTGACGTTCTAAATGGTGTCTCAGACAGTTCTGAATGTGGATTTTGTTTGTGTTGTCATTGCAGAAGTCTTTCCATCCCTTTCTGTTCTGACCAAAAGTGAGAGGGAAACTCCCAACAGGGACATAGATGGCAATAAAAACTTGACAGTCTAGCCAATCCCTAGGCCATTGGCTGTTACTGATGTGTCATCTAATGAGGAGGGAAAGAGCTGGGGGAGCCAAGGCTCTGATGCACGTTGCTTGATCAAGAAGGGGCCCAGGTCAGTTTAAGGGAGAATGCATGAAGGTAAAAACCCTGAACCTTTACAACCACTTTTAACAAGAGAAAGTGATAGGGCTGAGCTTTGGATGAGCATTGTTGCCCTGGAAAACATGGCCGGTCTGAAAGGTGCATAACAGGAAAAGTAAAAAATAAGCAGCATTAAATCTTACAAGGTAGATGTGAAGCAACATATTGAAAGTTACTTTATGGATATACATACACTGTTTTATCCAAGGTGCTATCATAGCAATTATTAAAAGTTATTCAAAATGCAAGCTTCCTTTGTGTTTGCCATAGTAGGCCTTCTGTTAGAACAATACAGAAGAGAAGATGGCAGGTTACTCATTACTTTCAACTTTTTTTTTTTTTTTTTGTTTATGAGACCTAAGTGTTGTCACTGGACAGACAAAACTTGGCACCGTGTTCATAGCTTGCATAGTGCTGAAATGACCTCTTCACAGTATCGTGTTTTTTTTTTTTTTTTTTCCAGCCATTGAATTGTCACTTAAAGAACAGAAGCAGCAAAGCACAGTGTCTAGTCTCTACCCAAGTACAAGCTTCCTGACAAATCACAAACCAGAGGGAAGAAAAGTGCGAGCCATCTATGATTTCGAAGCTGCAGAGGACAACGAACTGACATTTAAGGCAGGAGAAATTGTTACTGTGTTGGATGACAGGTAAATGCTCTATGAGAAATAACCGTAGCTGGGCTACTGTTCTTTTCCAGAATGTGGCATTATATTTACATTTTAGGGCATTATGAAATTGCTGTAAAATTTAAATTAGGGTGGTGCTGGCTTTGAGGGGATAAAGCAGGGATCAGGCAACATTTTCTAACTTGTTCATTCACTACGACCTCCCCAGTGATCCTTTTACCAGTGGTGTTTGCAGGTGACCCATAGAGCTTAGGAGAGGTGTAGCCCGATTTGGGTAAAAACTTTTATAAAAGCACCAAGCCTCCAATCACTCATCAAAATCTGGACTTCCCTGATTTTACATGTAGTGAGTGGAACTCAGCACTGAGAATAGGGCAGGAATTGTAGAAATGTTTACACACAAGTGATTGTGTCCTTCTGATATCCATGAGATAGTGTGAATTGTGACTTCCCTCTGTGTGACGGCCTTCCTCTGATTCATAGACTAGATTATATCAGATGGATGGTCTGCTCCAGGAAGAGCCTACTGTTGGCTGGCTGCTGTGCAGCACTGTGGAATGTTGTACTGACATTCTTTTCTCTCGCTCTCTCTTCTCTTGTTGTGGAATGAATTTTCGTATGCTGATTTTACTTTTGTAGACTCAAAACACTAGACTTGTACTGAGACCCTTCTCTGAACCCATGAATGAAACCTTTTGTACCTGATCAGTGTGTGTGTTTTTCCACAGCTCCAAATCATGCGTATACCACTATCCTGTTAAAAATTATAAAAAAAAAAAAAAAGCTTTCATATTATGGAGACTCCTGCATAATTACCAAACTAAAGGGCATTACATATATATATAAAATGTATTTCTCTATTGAGATTTCCCAACATTTGTAGAACGATGCTCCATAATTGATGTGTAGGAGAGGAGGCCTCTGACCCAACACTGAACAGGACAGGTACAGCCATTTTATAGTGAATGGCCCCCTAATCTCTCCTAGTTGTCTTGAGTCTTGAACATGCCTAGAAGTGACAAAAATGCAGAATGTACATTGACGCTTACTGGTAGAGCCATTTTAGTTTAGAACTAGAGGCATCACCTCCAGTAATCTTGGGGTCCTCGACACTGAAGGTCTCAAACAGTATGCTCCCAAAAATGTAGGTTTCCATTTTATTTTGTTCCTAGCTGCTGTATCACAGTCTCCATCAATATTTGACATCAGATTATCTAAAACTAATGACAGTTCTAAAGCTGCTCATACACTCTACAAACAGAATCTGCAATCAGGTGTGTGTGTGGACCTGCATTAGTAAATTGATAAGCTGCATTTTTATTGGTCCTAGTGGACATAATGCTGCCATCAGTATGGTGAGGAGTGCCTTGATTGCTTACTTTTTTTTTACCAATCATTAAAGTGGTTGTAAAGCTTTGACATAAATTAACAAAGCATATCTTTCTAGTGTGTGTTTGTCTCAGTTTAGAGCACTACGTGTCCTTTCTGCTGCTTGTTTGTTCCTCTACTATCAGCATATGTAGTTATAGTTAGTCTGGTTGAAAAAAGACAAACGTCCATCCAGTTCAACCAAAAAAAAAAAACAAAAACATTATAATCCTGCATCCACAGTTGATCCAGAGAAAGGCAAAAAAAAACCAGCAAAGCATGATCCTATTTGCTCCTGCAGGGGAATAAATTCCTTCCTGATCCCCCTAAAGGCAATCGGATATTCCTGGATCAATTTTACCTATAAATGTTAGTATCCAGTTATATTCTGTTATTCTGTGTATCCAAGTAAGGTTTTTTTTTTTTTTTTTTTTTTTTTTTAAGCAATCCACTGAGCTGGCCAGAACCAACTCTTGAGGGAGTCTGTTCCACATTTTCACAGCTCTCACTGTGAAGAAACCTTTCCGTGTTTTTGGAGATTAAATTTATTTTCCTCCACACGTAAGGAGTGTCCCCTTGTCCTCTGTGATGACCTCAGGGTGAATAGCTCTACACCGAGTTCACTGTATGAACCACTGATGTATTTATACATGTTGATCATATCCCCCTTATGTATTATACATGGAGATCATATCCCCCCTTATGTATTATACATGGAGATCATATCCCCCTTTAATCTCCTCTTCTCAAGAGAGAATAAATTCAGTTCCTCTAATCTTTCCTCATAGCTGAGTTCCTCCATGCCTCTTACCAGTTTGGTTGCCCTTCTCTGTACTTTCTCCAGTTCCCCAATGTTCTTTTTGTGAATTGGTGCCCAAATCTGAACTGCATATTCCAGATGAGGTGTTACTAATGCTTTGTACCGGGGGAAATGATATCTCTCGCTCTGGAGTCTATACCTCTTTTAATACAAGAGAGGATTTTGCTCGCTTTAGAAACCACAGCTTGGCATTGCATGCCATTGTTAAGCTTGTGATCTACCAGAACTCCAAGATCCTTCTCCACCATTGATTCCCCCAGTTGTACCCCCCTAGTATGTATGATGCATGCATATTCTTAGCCCCCAAGTGCATAACCTTACATTTACGTTATTCCACTGCACAGCTTGGTGTCATCTACAAACACTGAAATTTATACTTTTAATCCCTGACCTTATGTTGTTTATAAATATATTAAAAAGTAAGGGTCCCAGCACTGAACCTTGGGGTACACCACTGACACCCCTAGACTCTGAATATGATCTTGTGCATGAATTACTTCTGACAAGTTTTCCTGATGCCAAGAGAAAATTGGTGACAGGAGGGACCTCCAGCAGATTGACCGCCTCAGCTCTTTTCCTGTGAGTTGTGTGAACCGGGGGGGTTATGGATTTAATAAAACTTTGCACGTGAGGTGCTCAACTCCGCACAAACAGAAAAATCTTAAGGCTGTGGAACCAGCACCAGGTACCTCGAGGAGTTGAGCAGCTTAGGACCCTCAGAGTGTGTGTACCAATAGAGTGAGAAATAGATGTTAGCCTGTTGGTGGTAGCTGCCAAATTAGTATTATTATTTTTTTTTTCATATGGCTCAATTTCATTTCAGTGACCCCAACTGGTGGAAGGGGGAGACTAATGAAGGTATTGGATTATTTCCCTCCAACTTCGTCACGGCAGACCTCACAGCAGAGCCGGAGATGAGTAAGTAATGTCTGCATTATTGCAAATCTCATTATGTGGTGGCAGTAAAATATCTCTTCTTGTGATTGGTGGATTGTATTCTGCACTCCGTTACCTCCCTGACTTCTCCATTAAATAAAGTTCTTGTTTTTAAAGGCCTTTGTCATTCTAAAAGGTTTTTGTTTCTTTGTTGGTCTTTGTCCTTTTTCCTGCTTATGTAATTTGTTGTTATCAGTAGTAGTGTTAGTGTTAGTATTATTAATATTTTTTCAGGATACCAGATCTCTCTCTCCCTCTTTCTCTCCCCCCCTCTCTCTCTCTCTCTCTATCTCTCTGTTTTTTTTTTTTTTTTTATCTAATTATTGAATTATTCTAGTGAAGACCGAGAAGAAAACGGTTCAGTTCAGTGATGAAGTACAAGTGGAGACTATAGAACCAGAGCCTGAGCCTGTCTATATAGATGAGGTATGTGTCTCCTTTTCTGTTACTTGGTGTTTCTTCTGTCAAAAGAAATATGGAGGCTGCCATATGTCTTTTTTTATATATCTTTAAAATCAAACTCTAGAAAAATTCAAAGATATCTAACCTTATAGAGGTACAGAACTTTGAATGCTGTGTCCAATAAAGGCAAGAGGCCAGTCACCAGTGTTTGCGGTTTCCCTGCAGCTGATCTCTTCCCCATTAGGGATGCACTATGTCTTGTTCTGTCTCTGTATGGACGCGGCCATCTTGGTAGAGGCAGAGTTTTGCTTCTTCATGTCAGCCTCCAGCAAGGAAGGCAGTGAGCAGCACAGTAGTGATATCACAAAATGTACTCCAGATGTCCTGAAACTGTCAGTGCTTTTAATACAACACTGCAGCAATATAGATAGTAGGCTGTAGGGGACAGCAGTGCCAGGAAGTGTACAAGGAAGTTCAGTTTTTTTTTTTTTTTTTTCAGAAGGAATTCCAGGTTCTGCATTGTAAGCCAATTAGTCTGTTGTATTGCAGCGTGCTTGCATGTTTCAGACATTACTTGTTTGTTCCAGGTCAGTGACTAAGAAAGCACCAAAGCCAAGTAGCTAGCAATTCCAGGAAGGTCCGCAATGATTTTTTTTTTTCAGCTTGCATTTTCATTAAGGGACCCTGTCACTTTCATGAAGAAACACAAAAGAAAAAAAAAAAAAAACTTGCCTTTCCCCATGGGCGGTGTGTTGAGTTTTCACTGTCTTACAGAACCTCCAGCGCTGCTGCTATCAGACACTTCCAGAAATATTGAATAGTTTGTTTTCCTCTGGCCTCTGTGGTTCCATCTACCTATTTCTATGTCACTACCTTGTTCTGCAGTGACGTAGAGATATTCTATTTTGACATATGAAAGATCTCAAAAAGTGAGTTGGGTACATTTGCACTTTTTGTTTATCCAAGCTGTCTGTCTAAAATGTTTTGAATAGACTTCTCCTTTAAGCACTTCTGTAATTTATAGCTGTTTCTGCATGGTCCCCTTCCTGTGTGCTAAATTCATGAATGAGTTTATCTTAATACTCTCATAGGATAAAATGGATCAATTACTGCATATGCTACAGAACACAGATCCAACTGATGGTTTGCCAGACCCGGCAGATCTTGTACATCTTGAAGGTGAGTTTGGGCTAAAAAAAAAAAAAAAAAGCAAAAAAACAAACCCTTCTACCAGTTGTGCAGTTGTGTTTCCTCTCTCCTTAAGTTTTGTACACACGACCATGAAAATTGTCTAAAATTGTGCAGTTCAGCAGCAACTAGCCATCTCTCAGCCTGCGCGTACCGCTTTCTGTTCTACAATAGCTGGTCTCACGTGTAGCTTCTCTCTAGTGGGTATGCTGGAAAATCCGCATCTGATCAGCGATGACCAATGGCTGCTAGCACTGATCAATGTGTCCTTTTGGCGGGGATGGGGAGAGGGAGTAGAGTGAGAGCACAAAGGCACAGTGGGGAGGATTGCTACACCAACATTGCCTGTGTTAGTATGGCAATCTCTCCATCACTTTTATTTCTCTCCCTTCAGTCCGCTGGGTTGAAAGATGAAACAAATCCTAGGGTGTACCAGGCTTTAGACATCTCAGTGGTTATATGTTTGCCTTTTTAGCAAGATCTTATTTTATTCTTTGCCTTTAATGTTTTCTGTGTGTTTATCCACCAGCTGCTTGTCACCAGATGGGACCATTGATTGATGAAAAACTTGAAGACATTGACAGGTTGGTGTTTACTCATGACCACCATCAGGTACCTTTCCATAACACTGCTCATGCTCTCTCCTTTGCAAGGGGGGCTCTATCCCTGACCTATTCCCACATTGCTCAACTTTCATTAGGCTGCACCAATGCTCATGCACGCATCAAGCACAGATTCATGAGTAACCAGCTACTTTGCCTAAACGTTTAAAAAAAAAAAAAAAAGTGGGGGCGGGGGCAAATATCCTGTCACCTTGTGAACTATTTGGTTGTAGGCCCAAAACACATTGCCTACATGTTGCTATCATGATAGTTTTGCTACAGGGTGCAAATCATGCCTAGCAGATACCGATTGACGCGATCACATGCACTGTTTCCTTGGCGATGGTATAGCGTAGTATGCGACTTATTAATACCACTCAAATGTCACAACTCAGAAAAAAAGATGATTCAAAATTAGGACCTTTAAAGTGTTACTAAACCCTGCATTCATTATATCCTGTCTCCCACAGTACGCACAACATGGAACTTAAATTATTTTAGTAAATCTAAACTGCTAAATACCTTTTCTCATTAGCAGTTAGAGCAGTCTTGTGACTTCAGCTGAGCACTGGTTAAAGCTTGTAGGAGTTTCCTTTCTGCTCTAGGAGGATACAAAACCCCGGACCTCTGTCTGGACAGTGCTGATTGGTGCTGTGCTGATCACATGCCCTCTCCCAAGGAAAAAAAAAAAAAACCTCTCTAGCAATATACACTAAACTGAGCATGTGCAGAAGGGCTGCGGGTTCAGTCTGTCTTATCAGGATATAAGATGTGGACGTTTGAACAAGAGGAGGGGCAGAGAAGACAGGGTCAAACTGCCTTTTTACACAATGCACAGGATTAACCCCTTAGGTCCCACAGTGAGTATAACCAGCATGCTTTACTTCATATACAGTCTGATTTTACTGTTGTGGGTTTAGGAACACTTTAATCAGACAGAATTCTAATCCATTGCTGCTTTCAACTGATAAAATATTTAAAGCATATATATACCCAAAAACAAAAATCTTTTATAGCTTACTAGTCCTTAGATATGTTGGCTGCATTAATTGTGAGCTTTAATTTTTACAAGGGCATCCTGCGATTAACACACCATTGTCCATGGGTGGCTACCCATACTACTACACTGCTATGGAGTGAGCCACGATTGTCACCTTGGCTGGACTTCCAACATTGTCCTTTTGTTCCTTTCCTTTACATTAGGACTGATAGGATTGGCAGTTTCCAGAAGACAAGCTCATGTTTGTTGTGCTCTGTTAAACATGGAAGTGACAAGGACACTATTGGGGATATTTACTAAAACTGGAGAGTGCAAAATCTTGTGCATCCAATGAGCTTCCAGATTTTATTGCTAAAGCTTAATTGAACAAGCTGAAGATAGATGTTGATTGGCTACCATGCACAACTTCACCAGATTCTGAGTGCACCAGTTTTAGAAAATCTCCCCCATATTTTTGGCAAGATCAACAGATATTTTTTGTACTTGGTGGAAATGTTTTTTACCTAAAAGTAGTAAACAATTGCAGCGATCGGATCTGATGACTGATGTGAATGTACAATATATTATATGTAAAGCGCTGCGTAAATTAATGGCGCTATATAAGTACCTGTAATAAATAAATACAATAAATGTCTGGTAAGCTGAAGTATGTTGCATTTGTTGTGGGATTTAGATATCCTAATACTGCTCCTAGCAATACAGTGTCCGGTTCCCAGTCTTTTACTTCCAACGCCATTACCCCACCTTTTGGACAGTGTGCGTGTCAGATTTCCCTCACTCCCTGCTTGGTCTGACACCTATCAGCCAACAGGAGAAATCCAAATCAAAAAGCTGCTATCCTAAGCTAAAAGCTTTTGGTCACACAAAATTTGTGAATTAAATATAGATATTTTTACTGAAACCAATCTGATAATTGTATCCTGTTTTCCAGGAAGCACTCTGAGCTATCAGAACTGAACGTGAAAGTCATGGAAGCACTTTCTTTATACACAAAATTAATGAATGAAGACCCCATGTATTCAATGTATGCAAAAATGCAGAACCAGCAGTACTACATGCCGCCAGCAGGGGCTGCTCCACAGCAGGTACGCCATTCCTGTGTGTCCAGCATTGTCCTATAGGAGGGGACGTCATACTTGCTCTTTTTTGTGTTGATAGTTTATCATTCAGGAAGGTAATGCTCAGCATCTTTGCAGGCATTTTTTTTTTTGTTGGTTGACTTCCTGCTTCTCATTTTATTGTCTCCACTGTAGGCATATCAAGGACAACATCCGAATGCCACCTATCTTGTCACTGGAAATACACAGATGGGCCACGTTCAGACCTACTCTATTCCTACAGAACAACTTCCGTCTCTAAGCCAAACGGCGGCTCCACATCCTGCAGCCTCTGAGCTGGCCAGCCAGTCTCCGCAAGCTTCCTATAAGTAATGTGAATAGTTTTCTGTACTTTAAGTGCGATGCTAGCAATAATTGTGGGTTTATTCATTTTAAGTATTTATGTAGCTCTGACTTTTTGACAGAGCTTTGAAGACCAATTAATTCTTTATTTGACCAAGCAAAAGGTGCATAATCAGAAGAATTTTTTTTTTTTTATTTTCTGCAGTTACCAGGTGCGTGGAAACGATCCCCTGAAGCCTCTGCCTTAGTAATTACAGCATAATAATTGTTTGGAAAAAAAGAAACATTTTTCTAATATAATCTGATTAAAAATTACGGCAGTGCCAGTAAAAGGGTTAAAGGACCAATCCTCCCTATCCCCTTTAGCCAATATCCAATGAACAGCACAGTCTCTGCAAAGCTTAAGTTGGATCCTCAATCTGAGGAAGTCATTGCTGGACCCATCAAACTGATTGGAGCACCTGGGCCTGATGCTACACACAGTCCTGTCCAGGTTCTTTCTGCCTTGGGGACAAACTTCTGTCCCTTGGCTCTCATGCTTGGGCCTTCTGGGCCCTTTGTAGGTTCATGTAAGGGTCTCCATGCCTCTTGTTCCACCATTGCTATGTGAATCAGATAAGTACTCACTGGAGCCTTTAGTGTGAAGAATAGATTTCAGATGGACTTAGATGGAGCAATCTTCTTTCCTGCAAGCATGGGTTGCAGGAAAGAAAGTAGCTTGACTTCCCCATCAACACAGCCATTGAGTTCTACCGATGGGAAGGTGTGCAGAACACAGTGATTACTGCTAGTGGTTAGAATAGCAGCTAGCAATAATCACATGTAAAATCTGACAGGCGGGTTATACCCGTGTTAATTGATCAACTTTGGTACAATCAGAATATTGAAAGACAGAGGGATTTTTGAACGGTGCCACCATATAATCCAGTACCACAAAGATTGTAAATACTTTAACAGTTTTATTGAATGATGGCATATAAAAATTGGTACATTCAGCCTGCCCATACATGGTTTGAATCTCGCTGGTCCCTGCTGATCCATCCGAGATTCAAACAGTCTGTGGCCAACTATTCTCCCTTCCCTGTTAAGGCACACTCTACAAGATCTGTTAGAGCTTCATGTACTTTTCAGCATCAGGCCTCTGTTTCTCAGACTAGTATTCTTGCTGTGTGGTCCATCCCTTTTATTTGCATTGATTTTTGACATCTCAGTCATAATGATTAAAGAGCCTGAGTCCTGTGCTGTGTGACTTCCGAAATCCTAAAATTTCTAACAGGACTTTCAGGAGATATGGGAAAGGGGCAGGACCAAGCCTAGCTTTTACAGAAAGTCAGTATTTGCATTTATAGTTTCTGGTGCCAATCTTTCTGGATCTACTGATGGCTTTGACATGCGGGTTTCAATAAAGATGGAATCTACTGCTGTACTTTTTCACAATGTGCTCAGTTTGTGTTTACAGGTTTGTGATCGGTCCCTTTTTAATATAACCAGTTCTCTGTCTTGTGATCTGGTTATTCAGGGGAATAATGTCATGTACATCATTTATACACCATAAAATTGTTGCGCTGTGTGTCTTCTGGTTACAGGCGGTGTGCTGGTGGTGGATTCGCATCTCACTGAGTTTATTTCAGATATTATGGGCACTTGAATTCACGGAGGATTGAGGCTTAATCAATCACTATATGGACTCCGTTTTGAATATTTAATATGCTTGATTTAAATTTATGATTTATTTAAAATTACTTTCAGGGACAACACTTGAAGTATTGAGACACACAACGCAACATTTTTATGGTCTGTATATATACGGACATATTGTATTTTATGTTGAGTTCTGCTGTGGTGGCTTGTTTGTTTATTACTCTTTTTTTTTTGTTCACTTAGCGCAGTTTATAAAGAATATTTGGTTTACATAATTTACTGACCTTTTTTTGCCTCTTTGCTTTACAGAGCCACAGTGGTCGGTTCCAGTACAGCAAGCACATACATCAACCCAGCTGCTGGTTATAGCGCCAACCCTGCCCCTGTCGCTGGAGATCTCACTATTTATCAGACTGGTACCAGTATGTCCCAGGTCCCAAATTACACACTACCCCCTGCAGCGCTATCTCCACCCGCAGCCAGCCAAGAGCAACAACAGACTTACCAACAGAAAGCTCTTCTATAGGTCCTAGCATCCTGGACTTTATATATTAGCCCTAGCACCTATATAATACCTGTAAGTAATGTGACCTCATTCTTTGGTAAAGTGCACCTGTCACTTTGTAGCAGATATAGAGCTCTTAAAGAAAAGTCAGGGGTAGACCATGTACTTAGCAATGTAAAGGTTTTAGTGTATTTTTAAAGGAAAAGTTCTGACTCCACTTTGTTTTAAGGCCTACTTTTTTAATAGTTTCTTCTCAGTGTAACATATCTGCTATGCATAATTTAATTTATCCAGGTATATATCCGTGTCTTTCCTTTGCCCAGATTCACTACCTTTGTTGGAAAGGATTTTTTTATTTGCAGATTCCCAGCTGCTTCTCTTCAGGAGGTAAAATATGAACACCCTTTTCTAGTGGACTGCTGAAATGTTTAAAATGAGCCAAATGAGAGATTCTGCATTACGGATGAGTTTGTGAATATAGTCGCTTTTGTTTTTGGAAGTAGAATGACATGTCCCGTAATCTCTCTGTGCTCTCAGGGCTGTGTTTTTTTGTCTAATGATGACTATATCAGTCCTGTCATACAAGTTAGTTGACAGAAATTACACAGCCTGTTAAACTCTATGTAAACCCTCATCTTGTAAAAAAAAAAAAAAAAAAAACCCATGCAGTTTAAAATCGAAATGAAAGGCAAAACATTTGTGTATAGATATAAAAAAGGGGAAAAGGGGTATTTATATATATTTTTTTATAAGTGATCACATGCTCTGTGTTATTAGCTGCATAAGGATCTTCGAGAGTTTGGGGAGGAGAAGCAACATCGCGCTGGTCTTCCCAGTAAATGGCTGTGTGGGGGATGAGTGGAGGGCGTGTCAGCACAAGCCTGATCATTGGAGGAGAGCAGGTTCAGTTCTCAGGACAGCCAGAAAACTGTCAGCGCTGTGCTTTCATGCTTAGTGTGGTCAGTTTTTTTTAATTGGAAAGCAGAGGGACTGTCAGGAACACACAAAGGAAGCAATACAAAGAGAACAGAAATCTTTTTCATACAAGTACATGGTACACCAGGCACATATCAGGAATATGAAAAGTTGGGTTTGCATTTTCTTTAATTAAGGTAGCAGACAAGCGTTATGTTCATTTTACCTCATTGATGACTTATCTGTTGAGCACAGGAAGGCAAAGGCAAAGTCTTCCAGGGTGTTCTGCCAGCAGGCTGTTTCTCGGTAACGAAAACATTTTAAGGTTACTATTCAGATAACAGGAAATTTGACTGCAAGCTCTGCAGATACTTTAAAACAGGCAAATAAACATGTTTAGTGATGTACTGTAAGGCTGGCCATACTTTATACCATTTTCTTATTCAGTTTCTTTTAGATTTACCTTTCAATTTGTATGCAATTAGGCAGGCTTTTGCACTACATAGTTAAAGTGTTTAGGCTTGACCTCATATTATATGGTTTTTGTAAATCTAAAGGAAAATTTGTATAATGTATGGCCAGATTAAGTTATGTCTTTTTTTGATGTAGCTAATGGCTCCATCAGCTGAAAGATCTAGCTGTCCTCCTTTGCAACATTTATGTCTGCTATAAAGTTACAGGTCCACTTTGAACCTTGCCTTTTTTTTATCTTTTTTTTCTTAGTCTATTAGGCAACCATTTGTTGAACAAGACCTAGATTGCACTGATGACCTTAATTCACCTTAAATTTTGTATCATACACTACAAAAGTAGAAGATGTATTGGCCAAAGCTGACTGAATGAGGCCTATGCTTTCTGTGACCCTTGTCGCACACACGTGGTGGGCAGGTAGTGATGTGTCGTGAATCTTTCCACACTGACCATAAGTTACATTTGATGGTGACTTTGTAATTTCGGTTAAACTATAGTTTTGTAAGGATAACCTGTAATACTCTAATGATTATAGAATTCATTTTTTTTTGTGAATTCCAAAGGAGAATGGCAAACTTTGGTGCCCTAACAGGAAATTTAGTATACAAATAATGTTTAAAGGAAATTTCTTCTCTATTGTCCATTGACAGTCTAAGAATTTTGAGTATTTCCTCAAATATATTGCTGCCTACAGGCAAAACAGACACTGGCAACAAAAAGTTGTCCGGCACAGGATAACCCCACCAACAACCATCATGCCTCAGTTTTTGTTAGTGTCCTCATGAGTGGATGTGCTTCCTTCTGCTTTGCTGTTTTGTCTCTTCATTTTGAAGAATTTTCTACTCTCAGCAGCTGCTCGGTTGATTCCTGCTGGATGGATATATGACATTCTGGAAGTTATCCAGTCCAGCTTTCAGCACTAATAGGTTCATGCCGCTTATATAAAATCCTACAGTCTCTACATTGCCAACATACACTGGTAGATTCATGCCAGATATATTAGGTCCTGGAAGTTTTAGTCAACAGGATTTCCCAGTTTTATACTGGTGGCCTCTCTGCACTAATGCTGTATTTCTGTAATATTGTCCAGTCATCTAAAACTGCGGACAAATTCATTCCAGATATGAAAATTTGGAAAGCCTTTCCAGTCGGCCAAGGAGTGCATCACAGAGGATGCTGCTATTCAAGTCAGGCCAGTATGTACAGGGATTTCATGGCAGGGTATCAGGACCTGAGATGCGACCATTCATCTGACCCCCATCTCTGAAGGCTCTTATTTGTGTTCAGGTTACCACAGGACTCTGCTATTAAGGTCCAGAATTCAGACAGCTTTCCTTTCTCTGTAGCTCATTATTATGAGTGTCTAACAGGCGTTAAAGTGGTTCTAAAGGCAAGAGGTTTTTTTCTTGTTTGAAGATAAAAACCTTCAGTATGCAGCCCCCCAGATATTTACCTCAGTCCAGATGTGATCCAGCAATGTGCATGAGAACAGAGGCTCTCTGCTGTCTCCCTCATTGGCTCACAAACAGCTGTGGGGAGCCATTGGCTCCTGCTGCTATCAATTACATCCAATGAGAAAGGAAGAGGGGACAGGGCCGAGCCGTGCTCTGTGTGTCTTTTGGACACATAGGAGCATGACTTGGGAGCGTTTGGGCACTTAGCTGGGGGAAGAGCCAGGAGCACTAGCAGGGGACCCCAGAAGAGGATGATCCAGGCTGCTGTGCTAGGTAAGTATGGCTTTTTTATTTTAATTTACAAAAAATGAGTATTTACAATCACTTTAATGGGTTGAGACTTCCTCGGTTTAGTACTGAGGCTACTACAGCCAGTTCAGCTAATGGGCCATTGTTTAAATTTTAAAGTCATTTTATTCTAAAGTAATTTTCAACCTCCTGTATTGCAAGTTGACCACACGGGGGAGCCCTCCTCTTTAGTGTATGCTATGGATTATATAGATAAAGTTACGGGTTTCAATTTTCCTATCCCTTCCATTAGTCAGCTCTGTAGAAGCAGCTTTCATTTAGAGGGGTTTTTTTTTACTTTAATCCTAGTCAGAAACATTTGCTCTGTATTGTCTTTTAAGGGACAATGTCCCGTTGGGTTGTTCTTAAAAACTATTTATGCAGCTTGTTACTGACAGCTAGGACACCCATCTTCCTTAGTGGAAGAATCTTGCAGAATAGCCTGTTAATGGGTGTAATCCCTTACATATACCCAGTGAAGTGACTTCCCTCAGGTGATACACAGAGATGAAACAAATCCTCCTACATAAGTTGTATTTGTTTATCTTCAGTCTCTCTTCTCTACATCTGTTTTAAGTGATGAATTTATGTTGAATGAGTTTCCTGAGCATTCAGAAAAAAAACTGGGAGGGGAGCTGAAATTACACACTACAGTGCTCAGTGAGGAGAGCTCGGAGAGCTGATTGGGGGGAAGAGACACCCCCTTCACACAGTTCACAGGAACAGAGCTGAGGTTGTCACACTGCTAAGGGTCCCTCCCCTGTCACCATTTTTCTCTTGTTGTCAGGAAAACCTCTTGGAAGTGGCTGATAAAGGAATGAGGCAGCAGACAGATATGACACTTGATGCCCTGGATAGAGACAAGTACACACTATAGAGGGATATGCATTGTTCATATTTCACGCCCGAGGTTTACAACCACTTAAGTCTTCCTCCTCTCTGACTGTTAAAAATGGTTTCCTTTTGTTTCATTTTTTCCTCATTGAGAGTTAGGTTCTCATTCTGCTGAAATCCTCCGACAAACATTCTGGGCATTCAGATGCATCTACACTTTCTGTAGTGGGGGCGGGGCTTGGTTACTTGTTTCTCTGTGGCTTGCATGCCAGAAGTGGTATCCAAGAATTGCAACTGGAGTTTAGTTCCCTGCTTCTTTTTCTGTTTCACCGTCAACCTTCTGTTGCCCCAGAGATTGGCAGATCTCCATTTAGCTCTCTCGGTCTCCTAGCTCAAGGTGTCATTGGCCCAATTCCTGTGCAGAACCGTTTCAACCGTTTTTTTTACCTTGTTCAACATTCCCAATTTAGATCTCCTGTCTTGAAAGTCTTCCTTTGAATTTAGTTTTTCCAAACTGATTTCATCATGCCTGTTTTCACCTCACTTTTCTGACTTCTGTGGACATCAAGGATGAGTGTCTGCATGTTACCATGTTTTCAGCATATCGTCGTTTCCCTGTGTTTTGCTTTTGGAATGTGTGCTTGGAGTCCATTGAGGGATTCCTGGCTCCTTTTGGTGTTTATTCGTTGCTCTCAGTACTACTTTGCTACAAAATTGAGTCATTATTCTTGTGGGCTATCCTGTACTGGCCAACAGCTTTTTGTTTCCATTGTCTGTATCTCTTGTAGGTGGCAGTAAAACTCAGTCTATGAATTTAAAAAAATCCTGTGCCACCCAATGGATCACAAGAAAAGGATTTTATGGGAAGTAAAAAAAAGAATCCTAATGTTTCACTCATACTGGACATTATACAAGAACTGAACAACCCACGTAAGAGGGAATGCTTGGAAGACACTCTGGGCTCAGGTCACATATCTAACACACCAGGATAACTATCCTTATTTTCAAGGAAGACACAAAATTAGTCAAATGTCTAAAAACAGTGCCTTTGGTTGGTGT